AGAGAGAGAGAGAGAGAGAGACACACACCAGTAGAATCATAAGAACATAGTTGGGTTTCTTTATTGTTGTCATACTGTCATAAGTCAAAATCCAAGGATCCTTTGCTATTGTAATAATTTTCTCTCTGTGATGTTTTGAATAATGGGCTACATGCAAAATTAATTTTCAAATGTATAATCCTGCCTTGACTGTGTGTAAGAGAGAGTGAGAGTCACTCAGCTGTGTGCAGGTCTGACCTGTATGGTTAAATAATGATGCAGACAATGCTGAGACCAGAGGGAAAGCTGTGATTGAGAGATATTGTTGCTATCAGTCTTTCATTTCACTTTCTCTTCCCCCCTCTTTCATTTCTGTTTTCTCTGTTTTCTGTCTTCTTGTCTCTATGACTTATTTTTTTGTTGTTGTATCTACTCATTTCTCTGTTTTATCTATGTCTCTGTCTCTCTGTCTCTGTCTCTCTCCCTATTTAATATAGTGGACAGTGTGGTGGTGGTTGTATGACGTTGCAGGGTAGTATAGAGAGATGACCAGAGGGAACAATGACTCATTACTTGGGTAACGATGCCAATGTTTTGACCTTGTGCGCCCCTCTTGGATTGAACTGCCTCAGTAAATGTTCAGGTAAATGGTCCTTGTCTCGGTGATGTATGAAATAAACTACTGCCGTCCAGAAAAGACATCTCAGCTCACAACATCAGTCTTAAATGCAGTGTGCTGCCACTTCTCCATGTCAAGGCAATATTTCATATTTTCATTGCAGTTAACATTTGATGAGCATGTAAAATGTGAAATGCAATGACTCACATCAAGAAATGACTAAGGTGGTGTCAAAACCATGTCATGACACTAATGGTGATGATAAAAAGCTTGGTGGTGCAATGGACAGAGAGACTGTAGTGTTTTCACAATCGGAAGCTGAAAACTCGTAAAACCAGAGTCAGATTATGATGAAATTGCCTTGAGCAAAATCGTTAAAGGTGCATGGTTTTAATTGGCTTCTATCAGCAACCAGGGAATTGCAACATTGACAAGTCCTGTGAAAGGCCTACAGCAACCAAAACATGTAACTTAGAAATAATAATGAATATTTTCCAAGTTAAAAACAAACCAGCGAAATTTCTAGTGAG